CATTACATTTTTTATTATATAATTAAAAGATAAAACTTATTATAATATATTACATATTTATATAATTAATTTAAAAACAATTTTTTTTAAAATATTAATTATTTATAAAAATAAATCAGAAAAGAATTTATAATAAATAAGCAGGCAAATTTGCCTGCGAAATCTACAATCTAAGGGATAATAGATCTTAGTTCAGTCTATAATCAAGACAGATTATAACAAGTATTTACAGAATTTACTATTTTATTTCTAAGAATAAATTTTATATGAAATATGCAAATTATATTCATAATAGATCTGAATTTGAGAATATGTTAATTCTACTTAAAAATAACTTGTGATTAGGTTGAACTTAGACAAAAAATAAACATTATCTGTTGTAGTTAATATCACTTCAATTGAAATACAATACCTATAAGAATAGCTATCTAATAGTAAATATTATATATTATAGCTAGTAAAAACTTATTACCTCAAAAAGGTGAATTGTTTTAGTTGTAGTTAGTTGATATTGCATTATATATTCAACTATTATGTCATCTAGGTCATATACTAGTAATAGGGTTTGGATTTAATTCTCAAATTATTTAATATTATAAGTATTAAATTATCTGGTTAAGTATTATCTATAAGATATAATAACTCTTAAAGTATAAGCTATGTAGAATCACTTTATATCAGGCTAAACTGATTTATCAGATATAAAGTTCCTATACAAAGTGTATAATATAAAGTATTAGATGATTTAATAGATCTTGATTATAGTTAAAATATGATCATATATTAAAAATAGTGAGAACTAACACTATAGTTAAAATAATCCTTTTATTCAGTAATACAGCTAAATACTTAACATGTTTTAATACCTAATCAGTACTTATACTTTAGATTTAAACACTTATTAAGCAGAATACTAAACATATTAAATAGACTTAAAATAGAATTATAGAAGATTAGTTATATAGTAAGTAGGGTTTCTTAAAATTGAATCGAATCAAATATTGAAGTAATTTGAATTTGATTTGATTTTTCAAATTGAATTAAATTGAATACAATTGAACTCAAATATTTAATTGAATCAAATTGAATCAAATATTTGTCAAATTGAATCAATCAAATTATAGTTTTTATTTGACCTAATCTTGATTAATAATTGATTAATTTGGTTAATTAATCAATCACAAGATTTAGAATCTAATCAAGTATAATCAACTAAATATACAATCAATCAATAACTAAATAATTAGTAATTGATTTTAATCAATTAATATTATAATAGATAATGATTAACCAATTTTATTTTATTCAAGGGCATATTTTAATTAAATATTTAAAATGCTATTAATACAAAATAAATTCCTTTTAAATTTGCTTCTTTGTTCAATAAAAATATAAAAAAAAATTTATTCAAAATAGCAAATACTTTAGATTTAATTAAATAAATATATTAAAGGAAAAATATCTTAAGTTTATTTAAAAGATAATGCATTGTTAGTAACTCTAATATAATAATAATACCTGAAGAAAAAGAATCATAATGGATTTCTAATAATTGAAAATAAGTTTTGTTTGGAAATTTTAAGCTAAACCTAATAATTATGCTTATTGTAGATATAAAGATAATGATAATAATGAAGAATGTGGATTTATAAAACTCAAACTAGTAGCATATTATATCAGATCAATAATATGCATAAAAAATATGAAAAGAAAGTAGAAGTAAGTAAATTATAATTATATTATATATTTTTTATGATAATATTGTTAACTTCAAACTTTTACACTAGTAATTAAAAGTTGACAACCAATTTAAAAAAGTTACGTCATATAAAAAATAAAAATAAAAACAATTGCATAATGCAGTAACTAGGATTTTGCAATTTGATTTGATATTTGAATATTTGATTCGATCAAATTCAAATCAAAGAATGATTTATTTGATCAAATCTAAATTAATGTTTGATTCAATTCGATCAAATTTAAATCAAGTATTCAAATATTTAATTTAATTTGAATTAATAGTAAAGCTATCTCAAAAGCTTTAGGACTAGCTCTTACTAAGAAACCCTTAGTAAAAGTGCATCTGCAGCTTCGAAAATGCTTTTTTTACTAAGAAAACCATAGCAAAAAGCACCTTCACAGCTTCAGAAATGCTTTTTTTTACTAAGAAAACCATAGTAAAAAGCGCCTCTATGGCTTCAGAAATTCTTTTTTTACTAAGAAAAATATAGTAAAAAACGCCTTCACAGCTTCAGAGACATTTTTTCCTAAGAAACCTAATAAAAAAACGTATTTGAAACTTCAGAACCATTTTTTACTAATAAAATTATTACGAAACTGAGATGACAGTTATTACTTAGTAAAACTGAAGCTGTAATAGTGGTTATTACTAAGTTTTCTTATTAAAACTAAAGCTGCGATAGCAGTTATTACTAAGTTTTCTTAATAAAACTGAAGCCGCGATAGTGGTTATTACTAATAATCACAACGTATTTCTCTAATTTTGAGTAGCAAATGGTGTTACATATAGCACTGATCATTTTGCCAAATGATTTTCATATAAAATTTCACGCCTTTTTTTACTTTGTTGATAAGCAAGTTGTGTAACTTTATTATACTTTTTAAGATTTTTTTTATACGATTATTTGTTGAGTTCGCAACTATTATTTTATCAACTTAAAAACTTAAACACTCTCATTAACATTTAGTGGATCTTACTTGGAAAACAGACAATTTTGCTTTTAAACTTATAAATCTTTCAAAATATTTTTTTTTTATATTAAAAATAAATATAAACCGTTTTTTTTTTAAAAAAATAAAGTATTATTGAACAAATAATGTCTTTGAATAAATTTCAGCTTTGTATTAACAAGTTAAAAGTTTGTCACTTACGCTTGTAAAAGAAAAAATATAATAAAGCTTATCATTTAAATTAAAAGTTTGAAAGGTTTAATAAAAACTCTTTAAAAGGTATGTTTATTAAAAATAATTTTTGCTTAATATATATTTTTTATTTGCTTTATATTTTTTTTTTTATATTTTATTCTGAATATATTATAATACATTGAATTGATATTAAATGTTACTTTTTTTTACTTGGATTTTTGAAATTCCAATATTTTTTTTTTTTACTTGGATGATATTGTAGAAAATATTTTAATTAGAATTTCTTTTTTTTAAAATGTAAGAAATAATCAACTCTAAACAAACTTTTTACTTAACTTTAGAAGGTATTCCACTAATCATAAAGTATGCCATCAACAAAAAAAAAAGTAAAAATTGCATGTCATATAACATCATAATATGAAAAAAATATATTTCAAAGTTGGAAGATACCAAATTCTTTTACTAATGTATAAATTGAATAAATATTAAAAATAACATTAGAATGTATGAAATAGAAAGAAAATTAAAGACTAAAAACTTTATTAAAATAAAAATAAAAATTTTATTTTATTATGAAAAAATTGATTTTTTGAATTTTACATAAAAACTATCTGAAAACCAACCTTTATAACCTAAGAAATTCTTTTTTCTCTTGTAAATTTACATATATTTTTATTGTTGTAACTATGTATTTGTCCATACTTTTAAAAGGATCTTAAAATACCTTAATTTTAAGACGAAAGTTCGTGAATATGTCGAAAAAAAAAATTATTTAAGCGAACCTGATTATATATTTGATATTCCGTTAAATTACTTAATTTAGATCAACGTTGTATAACGATAATGAAACATGATTTTCTGCGATTGATATCTATCGATTATGAATAATTTGTTTTCCTTTTTAGGGATGAATCTATGTAGTGTAACTCACGTGATTGACAGGTTCTCAACGGGGCCTAAACATTAATTGATAAAATTTTTTTAGTCTAACCTTTTGGATTGTAAATATTTGATTCATCAAACAATTTCCAAATTTTTTTTTCATAATCCTTTTTCTTTCCGTTTCTTTTAATTTTTTAAAAAAATGATATATTTGTCATATTCTGATGCCATACCTCCTACAATAATAACTTTAGGAAGTTTTTTACTACTTATTTTACAAAAACATCATGAAAAAATCGTTGTTTCACCACAAGTGATCAATACAGATACTACAAATATCCGAATTTCGACAGTCAAAAGAGATGTAATCAAATTAGGGATTTGTATAATCCAAGTATCTCTATTTTCATTTTTATTAGTTCGGAAGGTATTTGAAAACGTTGATGTTATACATGCAGGATTACTTGTATTCTGTTGGGTAAGTTGGTCGAGATTTACCTTTTATATCTAGTAAAGCGCAGTATCACATCTCGTAATATACAACCTTTTATTTCTTCAAGCTTTATGCTACGATAATTACTCTGATCGCCAAAAAACCACGTGCAAAGAAATGGAGAACGATTTTGAACGCACATTTAACGACTATAGCCTTTTCCGCATTCTTATGTTCCATATGGTACCTTCGATTTGTGTTTATCATGTCAAAAAATTCAAAAGATTCAGAACAAGTTGTCGCGATTTGCAATTTGATCTCTTCATTTATCGTTACCGCAGTAGCAATCACAACTCCTAGAAGCCCTCCACTTTTTGACAACGGAAAACCTGTTACACCAATAAGTTCTTCTTCAATATTTGATTTTATGACATTCGCTGTCATGAACCCCTTGATCAAAAAAGCCTATAATAAGGATGCTTTAAAGGAATCGGACCTTGATCAACTTCCATTCGATTTACGAGCGATTGCTTTATATCATAGGTTTAAAGCTTGGCGCAGCAAGTCTTTGTTTTATAGAATATGGAATGCTAATCAACGTATTATAATATTTCAAGTTATTGGAACAATGTTCGTATCATTATTATATTATGTTCCTTCTCTTTTCTTATATTATTTTCTCGAATATATTCAAGAAAAGCCATCAGATAGAGCAAGTAATTGGGATTGGGGTTATATTTGTATACTTGGAATGTTTATAAGTAATGTCCTTTTACTTATATCTAACGGACAACAATGGTTCTGGAGTGCGAGCGCATTCAATACTTCAATATGTGGAATGTTAAATGCTGAAATATATGCTAAAAGCTTAAAAATGACAAATGGTGTTTGTATAGATAATGTCAATGAAAAGGATTCATCCAAGGGCGACAACGCTGCTGCTGTAGGAAAATTAATTAATCTTATGGCTGTGGATACAAGTCGTATTGGACAATTTTCAATGTGGTGGACTATATTTTTCGATACTCCTATACAAATTATTATTTCACTTTATTTTCTTTATCATTTATTGGGAATTGCTAGTATTATTGCTTTTACTGCCATGATTATGATTTTACCTTTAAATCATTTAAATTCCAATTATTTATCCAAAGTTCAAACTAAGCTTATGAAAGCTAGAGATCATAGAGTTAGTTTGATGAACGAAGTTTTACAGGGAATTCGAATGATTAAATTATTTGCTTGGGAAAGAAAGTGGAAAGAACGAATTTTGGGTACGTAACAGAAATTATTTAGAAATACCTTTTTTTAAAACAAAGTACAAACTTTTTTAATGACTCGATTATTTTTTAAGATGCCCGAGAAATTGAACTTCAAGAATTGCGTAAAACTTTCTTAAGTTTAATATCTTATAATTTAATCTGGTTGGCCTCTCCAGTATTTGTAACGATAATAATGTTCTTCGTCTTTACAAAAATTCAAGGAAATGAGTTAACCGCATCAATTGCTTTTACTTCAATAACAATTTTTAATGAACTGCGATTTGTTTTAACAAATTTTCCTGAAGTGTTTATGCAAGGTTATCAAGCTATTATCAGTATTAAAAGGATAGAAAACTTTTTGAATAGTAAAGAAATCCAGTCTAATGAATCAAATATGAATAATTATTCTTTAACAACAATTGGATTTAAAAATGCGAGCGTTACTTGGAATGAATACAATAATGAATTAAGTAGTAATGAGTTCATTATGAAAGATTTGAATATTGAATTTCCTGTTGGAAAATTAAGTGTAATATGTAAGTAATGTTGATTATTGTGCTAATTTAATGAGGCAAGATAAACAAATTGACAACGTATTATTTTTTTTTCTCTAGATGGACATACAGGATCAGGAAAGGTATAGATATATTATTTCGTTATTTTATTTATTTTATTTTATGAATTGATACTTAATTTATTATTTTTATTTTCTAAAGACTTTATTACTAATGTCACTTCTCAGAGGTAAATATACATATATATTGCTTTAATTCTTTTATTATTATTTTATTAATTCTTTCATTTGATAAAGAAACGAATCTAATAAAGGGAGAAATTATCTTTCCTAATACTCCTGAGAACATTTTTAATCCTGGTCCTCTGACATCAAATTGGATTCTTGATAATTGTGTTGCCTTTGTTGCACAAGAATCTTTTCTCCAAAATGCTTCAATCCGTAGTAATATAACCTTTGGGCTTCCGTTTCACGAAGAACGTTATAATGCTGTTATAAAAGCTTGTGCCTTGCAAAGAGATTTCGAAATCCTTGAAGATGGTGATTTGACAGAAATCGGAGAGAAAGGACTTACAATCTCTGGTGGACAAAAGCAACGTTGCGCATTGGCGAGGTAAGAATAATTAATAAATGGTTTTCTTTTTATAAAAACTTAAGTAATTAAACAATTTTGTTTAGAGCGGTTTATTCGAGGGCAAAGCATATAATTATTGATGATGCATTAAGTGCTGTTGACGCTCATACGGCTAAACATTTAATGTTTGATTGTATAACTGGTCCATTGATGAAAGGACGAACACGTATCATTGTTACTCATCATGTTGGTTTAACTTTGACAAAAGCTGATTATGCGGTTTTATTAAAAGATGGAAAAGTTGAAGTTGCTGGTACTGCTCAAGAATTAAAAGATTCTTTGTCGGGAATTTTTACAGAAACTGATAATGAAGTTGAAGATATTATTGAAACAGTAGCTGAAAATACAAACTTTCAAATGCCAACAAATGCTTCTTCTGATATAAGTAATGAATATGAAATCCGGCCAATAGATGATTCGACAATAGGAGTGTCTAGTGAAGGAACAACTATCAATGAAGATATGAATGATTCGGATCAAGAAGAATTAGTAGTTGTATCTACACTCCGCCAAGATAAAAATAAAGATATGACAAAAACTGCATTTCCAAAAAAGCTAGTTCAAGATGAAGGTAAATTATAATTTAATTTTATATACCAAATTTAAAACGAAAATTAATTCTTTTTTATAATTGTAGATTATGCAATTGGAAATGTTAGATTTGGAATCTATATGACGTACATTTTAGCAAATGGACATTTTTTTTTCTGGTTTATGGTCATAATACTCTTCATAATCACAAGGGTATCTCAAGTAGCAGAAAATTGGTGGTTAAAAGTTTGGTCAAACGCTAGTAAAAAAGATTTTATAAATTATGCATCACTGATCTTTTATGAACCATCATTTGATATCCCATCAGATCTAAATAGACATGATACAAATTATTATTTTAGTTATTATGTTTTAATTACAATATCATCTGTTTTACTGGGAGTTTTAAGAATTGCTTGGCTTTATTATGGTTCGTTAAGAGCCTCAAGAATACTTTATGAAGCTTTGCTTTATAAGATCATTAGAGCTCCATTAAGGTTTTTTGATACAACTCCTGTTGGAAGAATTCTTAATAGGTTTAGCAGAGATTTTGAAACCATAGATAGCACGTTAATTGGTAATAATAATATATATATATATTTTAACAAAATGAGGAATGAAATCAAACATCGCAAAAAAAATTTTTTTCTAACATTTTTGGTAATTTATAGGAAGTATGGCATCATGCCTTAATTTTGTAAGAATATTTATTATTATTTTATGAATGTTTTAAAGAAAAATTGTTTGATTTCTTTATTGTTTTAAGCTCTTAATGATGATTGGTACAGTAATAGTGATATCAGCTATTACAAAGGGTATGTATCGATGTCGATTTATTTTTTTTTTTTTTTTTGAAAAAATCCATATATTTAAATTAATTACATATATATTTTTTAATATTAGAATTCATAATAGCTGCACTAATTTTTGGTATGATGGTGAAAAAATCTTTTTATTTATAACATTTTTTTTTATATTTTGTATTTTAAAATTTCAACCATTTTTGATTTTTATTTAATAGGTGTTGCATATATATACATAGGAGCAATATATGCAAAATGTTCAAGAGATCTTAAAAGATTAGAATCTATTGCAAAATCACCTATATATACGCATTTTGGTGAAACAATAATGTAAGTGATTTTGAAGGAAAAAAAGGATTTTTTATTTATAAAATAATCATTAAAATCTTTTGCTTTATAGTGGAATTTCAACAATTCGAGCATATGGCGCAACAAAAAGATTTATGGAAGAGATTTTAGTAAGGTAAATAAAATTTTTTTTAAAAAAAAAATATTTCTATCTTTCTTTTATATAATCAAATAATCTTAAAATTTTGTAGAATTGATGCTAGTAATAGACCATTTTTCACAAAATGCACGGTTAATAGATGGTTATCAGTAAGATATAATATTATGGGAGCAGTATTAACATTTATAGCAGGGATCTTTATAATTTTGAATTTATATAGAATCGATGCAGGATTAGCAGGATTATCGTTAACATTTGCTATGTCATTTTCCAAGCAAATTATGTGGATGGTCAGGGGTTATACGGCATTTGAAATGAATTTGAATTCTATAGAAAGAGTATGTGAATTTATGGAAATTAATCAAGAAGCGGCAGAAATAATTGAACCTAGACCACCTGCTAGTTGGCCTTATGATGGTAATATTAGAGTGGAAAATTTATTAATTAGATACGCACCAGAATTAGAGCCTGTTTTACATCATGTCTCTTTTGAAATATCTGGACAAGAAAAAGTTGGTATTGTTGGGAGGTATGTATCATAATTCCTTATCTTGGATTTTGAAGGACTTCAAGAACTTAAATGATTCAATTTTAACTTTTTTACGATTTAGAACCGGATCAGGGAAATCAACAATGTCTTTATCATTATTTAGATTTATTGAACCTTCTGATGGAAAAATAATTATTGATGGAATTGATATAAGTACAATTGGTATTGAAGATCTCAGATCAAGGCTTACAATTATTCCACAAGATCCAATATTATTTACAGGTAAACATTTTTTTTTTATAGTAAGTATAATATGAATATGCTTGCTGATTGATTTATATTATAACACTTTTTTTTTATAAAAAACCAAAATAATAATAATAATAGGTACTATTCGATCCAACCTTGATACATTTTCGCAATATGAAGATCATGAATTATATGAGTCTTTGAGAAGAGTACGTTTACTACCATCGTTAGAAGAAGAGGAGCACCTAAATTCGCAAGAAATGGATTTAATAACAACTCTAGATGATAATAAGAATATAAATGTATTTAAAAATTTAGATGCGCCGATAACTGAAGGTGGGAAAAACCTTAGTCAAGGACAAAGACAATTATTATGCTTGGCTAGAGCCTTATTAAAAAGGTCTAAAATTATTCTTATGGATGAAGCAACTGCAAGGTAAATTGATTTATTAAATTTATATTTTAAATATAATCATGTTAATTGAATATTTATTTAATAAATTTTTTTTTTTTTTGTAGTATTGATTTTGCTATGGATGATAAAATTCAGAAAATGATTAGAAAAGAATTTATAGATTGTACTATATTATGTATTGCACATAGATTAAGAACTGTTATCGATTATGATAGAATTCTTGTATTAGGTATGTGTACTTAACAAATTTCTAACTGTAAAAAAAAAAAATTAATTTTTTTTTTGTCTTTTAAATAGATCAAGGAAATGTCATTGAATTTAATAGGTATTAACTGTTATTTCTTAAAGAATGAGTTTTTTGATTTAGTAAATTACTAATTTACTGAATTATTCTTAATTAACAGCCCGCAAAACCTTATCTCCAATCCAAATTCATTATTTTATCAAATGTGTCAAAATTCTGGAGAATTTGACATGTTAAAATCATTAATTTCTAAAACTAATGACAATAGATATGAATTTTAATTAGATTTTAATTAGATTTAGATATATAGAATGTAAGTTTTTGAATAAATAGAAAATTCTTTTATTTACGCGTGTGCATAATGAGAATGTGTTCATACGCAATATATCCACTTATGTATAAATTAAAACTTTCCCTTAATTCGGCGAATTGATGATTCTAACCATTTAAAGTTACTATAACATCCAAATATTTATGGTATTAGATAATGCCGATAAATGAAATCTCCAAATCTTTTAATTTATACTTTTATTGGATGCTTGCATATTTTTTGAAGTATTATTTATTAGTTTTATTAAAAAAAAATATATAGTATTTTTTCAATCATCTTGACGATTAAGATATCATATTGGTACAGAAAATTTCGCGTTCGACCATATTATTATTTTATAATTCATCAATTTACTGATTATTGTCCCGAAGATAATAAATATAAAACAACATTATATTTGCAAACATTTGTTAACAGATATTGGTTTAAGTTACGGCCTCTGAAGAGGCGTTAAATACGAATCGAGCGTTTCCGTTCGACCGTTTTAATTATTGATTGATGTCAACCTTTTTATTTTACCAAAGTAACTAATTGACACTTTTTAATATAACTTGTGCACGATAAAGCATCACTGAGAAATCTTTTAAAGACGAGTTCGCGCGGTATGTACCTTTATATCTTGGACGAAACATTTTGTATATAATGTTAGGAAATACACACGTAGAACCACATTCTCTTCTTACAAGATGTATAATACCCCCCCCCCCTCATTACTGCTCCAATTACCGCTTTCAATTACCCCTTCCAATTAAACCTTTCGAATTAGCGTTTCCAATTCCACCCTTTAATTAACATTCCGCCAAATCACAAAATTCAAAACCATTTGATCGTTTAAATTTCTTCGTAATCGGATAACATGCAAAGTACCATCCTAATTCCATTCTTATTATTAAGTTCAGATTCATAAATGTATTGTTGAATTTTAGGGTGATCTTTTGTCATAAACCAAATTTCTTTTAACCGTTTATGTTGAGAGTCCAACAAACTTAAATGCTTTCGTTTTAAATTCGAAGGAGGAACGATGCACAATTTCTCAAGTTGCTTAAAATTAAGTATAGCCTTAATTAATTTCTAAAAAAAAAATAAAAATAATATTTATATTTATAAATAAAAAAAGAAGGGTAAGTCAAATTCAAATTTCAAAAAAAAAAGAAGAGTTTTCCTTGAAACACTTACGTTTGGATTCACATTTTTGATCGGATACCTTATATCCAATTTCCTTAAGTTTGGTATACAAATTGACAATTTAAGTAATATTGAACTATCAATAGTTTTTGAAATTTGTGAAGTATCCAAACAAACGTAACGATTTCCAAAAACCAATAAATTCGTATTAACAAAAGAATTGAAACAGCCAACTAAACCGTTCGTCAACTTATTATTAAAACTAACATAAAATTCCAACAAATTCCTACATTGTTTAATAACTTGACTTAAAGATTTGATGGTAACTTTAGGACATTCTAACAGGTTAAAGGAAATTAAATTACCACAATGTTCGGCCAAATTGTTGATCCCATGATCGGAAATGTTATAATTATAATGAATTAATAAATTTTTAAAATGACAACCTCGATGTCGAGATAAATAAGTTATGGAACTATCAGATATGCTAGGACAATGAATTAATTTCAACGTGGATAAATTATAACATAATTGAAAGATAGGTAATAACATGTCATTCGTTAAATCATTATAATGTGAAAATTCCAGATGATTTAAAGTATCTTGTTGAATCAATGACCAAGGTTTTATGAATGATTGTAAACTATCCCAACCTTTTAATAATGAAAACGATTCCAATTTAGGAAACCTCGAGCAAATTTGAAGTAACCTATCATCGGTAATGTCTTGTCCGAATTGTAATTTTAATGAGGTTAATTTGGTCAATCCACTTACTAATATGTATAATGCTCGAAATGTTACCGTGATACATGAAAATGATGTTAAATTTGGGAATGCATCAACGATGATTTTAGCAGTTTGTTCGGGTACGTCGGTTATGATATCAAGTGCGACAATGTAAGGGCAATGACTTCCAATGTCATGTAATAGGAATGGTATTGATAAATCTCTCCAATCTAAGGATAATCTCAACGATCTTATATAAGGAAGGAACCCTTTACGCATCGGTGTTAATCCCGCCCCTAGCCATTGCATTGAATTGAATTTTGGTCCTTTAAATACGACTAAATTTGGAAACCCTTTTAATAATAACGCCAAAATATTTGGTGGCAAATCGCTACTCGTGTTGATGGAATATGATAATGATGATGATCTTGAAGGTTTTAAGCAGTCAAATGTCAAATATTGTACGTTTGGACAATGTAATGATATTAATTCTAAAGCTTCCATTGTAAATAATGGAGGTAAAAAATTGTAATATGATTTGAATGTCAGTTTTTCTACTAACGTTCCATTGGCATGTGGTGGGTGTTGTTCCGATAATGTATGTAAAAATTTTTGAAATGATTTTGGTGACTTCCATATCGGGCTCCTCCATAACACGGGAACGAGCATCTTGGAGGGAAAAGATTTGACGAATAAAAGATTTATGCAGAATCGTATTTCGAAAAGAATTTTAAAAATCATCCGAGAAAAAATTATTAGGATTGACGGAGAAGAGAGGAATCACAAATTTAATTTACCTTGGCCCAATTTGGATTCACAAAAAGGAATTTATAAATATCATCTTGATATTCGAAATATTGAGAAACGACCGATACGATAAGGTCCGTGTGTAAAAGTGCATATCTTGTTGTGTTCATCATAAAAAAAAAAATCCGAATATTTACGAAAAATGATATAAATTATTTTTTCTTTAATTTAAATTTAAATTAATTTTAAAAAAAGATTTTTATTGTTTTTTATTTCTCCTTTTATAAGAAAATAAAAAAAAATTTTTTTTTTAAAAAAAGAAATGTTTTATTGTGGACTTACGGAAAAACAAACAATAAGAAACAGAGAAATTACTATTACAGGGCTCCCTATTTATGCAATAATTGTTACATAACTTTGATCCCTATGTAATGTGGCTAAAACGAACCTATCTAAATATATTCACACCAATCTTTTATTAGGTAAATAATAAAAGGAGAGAAAGGAAAGAAAACAAATGATTAATTATAAAAGGCATATACATTACTTATTTTATAAAAATTAATCATTTTTTTAAGGTTAGTTTTGGCTTTTTATTTGCGTAGTAACTATTTTAGGATAAATCCCCCAAAAAATATTCCCATTGTTTGATCATCATACTTAAACTATTGATACTGTTTCTTTTTAATAAACCAATCAAAATTTTATTAAAAATAATGTGGCAAATAAATACAAAAACATCCCATTTTCCCTTATAACCCTCAAAGAATATGTTCTATTTTACAATTGATGTATCAAAAAAGAAAATTCATTCGTTAAAGTTAAAGAATTCTAAAGAATTATTTTGCTAAAGCATATCTCCCAGGATCGTTATTGTCAATCATTTCTGATATCGTCGTTTGCATGATATTCCATTCATCGTCACGTGGTTTACATAACTGTAAAAAGATAAATAAATAAATTAATAAAAATTACAAAAAAACCATTCAAAAAACTTTTATCAATTGGGGAAAAAAAGGTTCCAAGAAAATACCTCGCCGATATCATAAACGTGAACACGACCGTCTGAAGATCCAATGGCTACTCTCTTTCCTTCTTGATCCCATTGAAGTTTATTCAATGCGCGATCACTAACTTTACTATTTACAATTGGTAATTCAGTATCCGTATTCAAATTCCATAAGGTAAAATATCCTTTTCCATCTACACATCCGAACAAGGCTGGGTTTGTGGGTGACCATTTTACGTCATAAATATAGTCATCCGCCCCTTCAAATGAATATAACGGTACAATATTTTGTGCACCAGCCGTTGGTTTTGAAACGGACTAAATTTTATTTTTTAAAAAAAAGTTTTTAACGAAATTGCCGTCTCGAAAGTCAAAAATCAAAAATCAATTTTTTTTTTACCTTGGAGCGCCACAATTTAACAGTCCAATCAACTGATGATGTCAAGAATAAATCCGAAAAATCTATTGGACCATCAAGAGGATGGAAATGAAGTCCTGTAACAGGTCCCCAATGCCCTTTATAATTATCATACTGATTGATACCAGCTTTTCTAAAAGTTTTTGTTTTTTAACAGTTATAACGTGAGTCATCATCATAACATTGATTTCTTTTTTACCATAAATACTATTAACTTACCCTCCGGCATGTCCAAATCTATTGGCCTGATAAACATTCCCTTCTTCTGTTCCAACCCAAAAAGCAGAAGTTTCATTTTCAGGAAAACCAAAAGTTGTAACCGAAACTTCTTCGGTTTTAGGATGATCTGAATGAACAAGTTCCAACGATTCCTGTGGTTGTGTTAACATGTCTAATTGCCATGAGCAAATTAAACCATCCGTACTTGCGGTGATCAAATTATGAGCATTTTGTGTTCCGACCATTTGCATTGAATATATAGGATGCGTATGACCAGAAGCTCCTAGAGGAGTCTTAAGGACCGGTAACGATTTGGCTCTCATATCCCAAAGTAAAATTTGACCAGAATATGTCCCTCCAATAATATAACTTTGGTGGAAATCAGAAAACATTGTTGTAAGAACATCCGACTAATAACATTTTTGGAATAATAGTTTAAAAAAAAAAAACTTGAAGCAAAAAAAAAATGAAATTATTGTCAACTTTACAAACCTGTGAGTGGAAAATAAATTCAGGACGTTCCAATAAACGTAAGCTCCATACACAAACAATACCATCTGGATCATTGATTGCATATGGATTCTTGTTGTAAGATGCAAGAAATAGTTCTGGGTTCTAATGAATAGATTTAAAAATACACAAATATATGTTAGAATGTCAAGATCTAAGAGACAAACTAGAATTTGTTATATATACCTTGCTTGACCAATTTACATCGGTAACAGATCGATTTTTAGTCCATCGATCATCAAAATATGAGCACAAGAACTTTAAACGTGGTCCTCCATCATCGACGCTAAAAATAATTTTATGTTAGAATAGCATAATGGAAACAAACAGCATGTAAAGAAATAACTCACTCATCAAGTTCTTCATTCACTCGATAATCTCTCATGAAATCATAGTTTTCATTGATCGCCCTTTCAACATGTTTTGTAGAAAGGTCAATGAATTCTTTGAATTCCGGCGAATTAAGAATAATCTTTTTTTCTTCGTCGGATAATTCTAAATTAAAAATTCATCAGACCAAAATTTTCAAGTTATTAATTAAATAATATTAATGATTGATATTAATTTTACCCCATAATTTTGCTTCCTTTTTCTTTTCGATTTCAGCTTTAATCTTCTCTTCTTCCTCATAGGCTTTACGTTGTTGCTCTACTTCTTCAAATTCTTTAATAATCTTTGCACGAATTTCATCCTCTGAAGGTGGTGGAGGAATAAAAGAGGTGTCTGTAGTTTGTACTTCTTTATTATAAAATACAATTTCCTATGATAAAATCACGTGTAAAATTTAATTAACGTCATTGATAACACGCGACTTATTTACGTTTATTTATTCACCTTTGGAGGAATATCTAATATGACCGCTTCGAAAGTGATAAAATCGGGAATAAAACGGGCTCCTTGTATTGATGGACTGATACAAACATGAATGTTAATTAACAGGCATTGAATACGATAAATTAATTTCAAATATTTACCTTGAAGGAGCTATTGGAGCAGGAGTGGAAACGTTTGTCAGTTGCGACTCTTCGGGTAAGGGTGAAACATCCTTCATTTCATCAAGGATATCTTCAACAGCTTCTATTGGATCAGCTTTGGGCAGAAGTTCCGCAAGAAGTTTATTTAACTCATTTTTTCTGTCAGTCTAATTATTTTTTTCAAAGAAAACATTGGTTATTTTTTTTTTTTTTTTTAAAAAAAAGGGGGGTGTTATTAATTTTTGATAAAATACCGGGTTAGCTTTTTCTACAGGTTTCTCTTTAGGTTCCTCTGGTTTTTCTTTTAGCTTTCTTTCTTCTCTTGCTCTTCGAAGTTCTTCAAGTTTTGCTCTTTTTTTCAACAACTCCTCTTTTCTACGTTCAGCCATTTTTGTTTATTTATAATTTTTTTTTTTTTTTTTTGTGGGAAAAACAAAACCTTGATTCAATGAATCGATGAAAAAAAACTGAAGCAATTTTTTTATCTGGATCGATTATTTACTTCCAAAAAAAAGCAAATTGTCGAGTTTTCAATATATATCCGTTGAATAATAGTGGAGATCGGTGATGTGCCGCACATTGTTACGAAACTTGAACCTTAAAACAAGTGTAATTTAATGTATGAAGATCAAAAGTTTTGGCAAAAAAAAAATATCGACTATATAGGTTAAATTGAATGAAGATTGATTGGATCATATGTCATCACAGTCATCACACAATGCCACAGGAACTTTGTGAATTCTTTCATTGTGAAAATTTTTTTTTTTTTTGTCATTTGAATACATTAAACCTTGATTTTTTTTTCTTTGTCCCCTTTTTTTTTTATAAAAAAGAAAAAACTTGATTATGTCGATCTTATCAAATTATGGTTAAATTTGTGAGATAACAAATTTATCTAGTTTGTTAAAACCTTTAAATCAAAGTGTGATATAATCAGATCGATTTCACATTTTAAGATCCGGGCATCTCATTAGAGAGTCCCTTTTCTGAGTTAACGATTCTGGATATGATCTACTCTGAAACTAGGGATAAATTTCATGTGACAATCAATAAAAGAAAAAAACCGACTTCAATAAATCCAAAACAGTTTATGTTTGTGGCATGAGATCTTATGCAAGGTTTATATACCTCGGAATATCTAATCCCTGCCGGAAAAGGTCAATTTCGAAAAACCCGGTTTCGATTTTAAACTACATATGGGGTTTAAAGCATCGTGCAAATAAGAGAAAATTATGCGAATTATGAATCTTTTAATTCTCTTTATTATAATGTGGACAGAATAAAAAGAATTTCTGATAAATTTGTGCTGAGAAATCCATTAAATTAGAATTTTAAAGGATTATTAATGAACATTAATCACAAGTAAAAAAAAAATCAAGAAAGACACTTGTTGTCGTCCATTTTAAGTAATGGGAAATTGTGGAACGTGATGAATCAACCTCCATCAATAAAATGACGCCATTTCAGACCCTCCCTCTTTTAGTATCATCTGTGATATTTTTATTAAAAGTTTGGATTACTTAATACCCTTATCGTTATCTAATAAAATATTAAATATTTTTCTATAACAAGAACTGATCTTAACTCTGGTCGAATTATTTAATTTTGGCCATGAAATTTATGCTAAATCAAGCCTATTTTTATTGTCGATCCGAGTTATTTATTAAAAAAAAATTTAATTATAAATAAGTTACTTATTCAGAACTGGTTGGTCGTATTTTCGTCCGTAAACTAATATTACCTTTGAATCGCTAATAAATATTAGAGAATCAAACATGTAGCAAATAATTTTTGTATTTGGAAATCATTTTGGATAAAAAAATTTTTTGTGGCTGGGAAATACGATCTTTTTTTTTCGGATTAAATAATTTCGTAAATTTACAATTTTAACGATATATGTGTTGTAGGTATTAATTAAGATTAGTGTTGGGATTAGAGTTAGGTAGTGCCGGTCAAGATCCAATAACCACATACCAACATATATAAATAAATACGATTCTAAAAAATTTATATGATATCTCGAAGCGAATGGGTTGACAATATTTGATGTGCTGCAGTTATAATATGAAAGAAAAGGTTTAAAAGCTCTAATCAAATTTGCTTTTTATGCTTCGTTTGGCTATTAAAAATCGAATCACGATACATATTCCCGTTGATAAACAAATATGTGAATAGAATAAAAAAAAATTCCACATTTTTTATACACGAGTATTTTTAAATTGTAAAATCAATACAGAATAGTGAATTATAAATAATTTAAAGAATATTGTCTTGTGAAAACGAAATTTTATCTAGGAGATATTTTGTTATTAATAACCCGTAAATGTAATATTTAAGTGGCAAATAAAAGTAATTATCAGCTGAAAGATGGACTTTTAGATGAATATAATCTGAACAAGATGTAAAGTTATTGACTGAATCGGACCGACCGCCTTGAATTTCCACGTTGGATGTACCGGTATGAATAGTGATGTCAAATTTTAGTTGATAATGTTATTTCACGCATAAAAGAACAGAAAAAGGAATACTGTGAAGAAGAAATTGACGAAAATGTAAATAGAAATTGTTTAAGCCACATTTCACCCCTATATCGAGGCGCGTTGAATGGTGATTATTAAGCATCCATAGATGTAACGTTATAAAGAAAGACTATCCGATGAGCCAATGAAACCTGACATATTATCAGAGATGACGTAACTTACCAATGATCTTCCCAAATTTAGAAATTCATCACGATCAAAAAAATAAATAAATGTTTATACACGATAAAAAAAATTCCCACTTCTCTTTTCTCACGATCCATTCTCTCTCTCTAGGGTCAGATTAAAGAAGACACTAAAAGAACTAGTTTCTCACACGCATAACTACATTATTTTACTAATGCCTTCAAGAAAGTGTTGATTTCTTTCCTTCAAGCGTCAAATAATATTCCTTCTTTCCTATTTTGTAAGTATTTCCTCGTTCTGCAATCTAACGGCGATGTCAAACCGTCCCTTTGTCGAGGGTACTCCTTCCGGATGACATGCTCTCCCTTGTTTGGAGATCCTAGGACGCATAAGTGTGGATCGTTCGTGACTACTACACGCCCTTATTGTATTGAAAGGCCTCTTGCTATTTTTCCTTAGCGAAGACAAATCAACCTTGGTTGGTTACAGCAATGCCAAAATACTTTACTCTGTTTTTACTGATTAAAATTTTCAATTTCTTTTTATGAAGTAGTACCTCACTTGCATGAAGAACTAAACCGGGCTGGCCTCTATTCCTTATTCTTGTCTTTTGTAAGTATTTCCTCGTTCTACAATCTAACGGCGATGTCAAACCGTCCCTTTGTCGAGGGTACTCCTTCCGGATGACATGCTCTCCCTTGTTTGGAGATCCTAGGACGCATAAGTGTGGATCGTTCGTGACTACTATACGCCCTTATTGTATTGAAAGGCCTCTTGCTATTTTTCCTTAGCGAAGACAAATCAATCTTTGGTTGGTTACAGCAATGCCAAAATACTTTACTCTGTTTTTACTGATTAAAATTTTCTTTTGTGAAATAGTACTTCAATTCACGAGAAACCAAATCCAATATTAAAAGAAGGTTCCAAGATAATTAACTTCTCAATTGTAAACAGTGACTGCCGAAAATATTTATTAATTACCGGTTTTAATTTCAACTGATAAAATTACTGTGCAGTTAATTTAATTATATCGGATGATGTATGCTTGCTTTTCTTAGGTTAAACGATCGTCGTCATTTTCTGTCAGGTCATTTCAAAATGTCGTTCGATTAAAGTAGTACCATTGACCATTGACGTGACCGACCGTTAGCATCCCTGTTCAATTGAGTTCGCCAGTAAATTTCTTCAATTGCGATGAGAAATCAAACTTGGTTCACAGTAAATTCTTCAGATCAAACGGGTCATAACATTCTTTCTAACGACATGCAAAAAAATATTTTTGGTAAAAATCAGTTAAACTATTAGTAAATTTAAATAATAATAATATTTCAAATTAACTTTTTATTATGATCAAATAAATTCATGACCGCGTCTCATTATTTTATACTTTCTATAATTTTACAACACATAACGTTTCTATATTTCAAATTCTGCTAATTCTTCATCATAAACGCTATAAATATTATTTGAAAAAAATGACATGGCCACGTTATTTTTAGTAATTGTCTCTGCGCTGGGCTAGTCTGTAACAGTTTATTTTTATATAGAATAAATTAGTACCGAAGAATTTTTTTATTGTTGGTAGATTAACTGGTGATATTTATTAAATGGTTATTGGATCATGATTCCAATATAAGTAAATTAAGTCCTTTAAAAAAACACTGTCGAGAGACAAAAAAGGAAATTTGACAAGGCTTGTCTGATTTTCTGAAGAAACAAACGTGATAAATTTAATACGAAAATGGATATGCAGATCGCTTTTAACTACTGCGCGTAAATGATCTATAAAAAAATAAAATCATTTTTTTTTCATCAATAAAATTTTATAAATGAATGTATTTTGGTTTTGATCAATCAATACTTAGTTAATTTCACCACCGTATTAAAAATGATCACAAAAGAAAAAGAAAAGAAGCCTCACTTTGAAACTCTCCAATTGCATTCAGGTCTTACACCTGATATTTCTAGGGACATTCAATGGCAAAGATTATTCATATGCTTACACAAGGTATTAATCGATATGAATTAATTTTACCGTAGATTGAAACTTTTAATAATTAAATATTTCTTTATATTTTAAAAGGACGGGCAATCTGACTTTAAGTGGGTAATCTTGCAAGATAATTTCTGATTAATAACATCATGTACTTGCTAAGCAATTCCCCATTTCTTTTTTTGTTTTTAATTCATTAAATGCATTTGAGAAAAGAATGGCCGCTCTTGAAGGTGGGAATAGACGCTTTTTCTACACCTTCTCTCCTGGAATAGCTGCACAATTTGTTGCCATTATAATACTTTGCGTAGCTGGCGATAATGATTTACAATCAATTTAAAGGTAATTAAGTACTCATGAAGCACGGTTATTTTTGTCTTTTCTAAAATATAAGACTATTGTTAAATATTAGGTTACACTTCCAAGGTTGGGTATCAATGTTAAATTCATTGAAGGTGATGATCCAGAAGGATTCATCAAATTGATTGATGAAAAAACGAAAGCCATTTACCTTGAATCTATGGGTAATCCGAAATTTATCATTCCGGATTTCGAAGTTATCTGTAAGGTTGCACACGATGAGAATACCGGTCATTGTTGATAATACATTTGGTGCAGGCAAGTAGATGGAATAATTTTAAATGTAGTCATCGTATTAAATTTTGATCATATCTAATTCAACCCACCATGAAATGGATAGGCAGGCACGGGACAACGATAGGTGGTGTCATAGTCAACGGTGGAATATTTCCATGGAATAATGATAATTTCCGGATTTAAACAACCAAGTCAGGCATATCATGGAAGAATTTATTGGAACAAATTTGGGTATGGTTGAAAGCGCGTGCAGAAATATTACGTGATGTAGGACCTTGTCAAAATCCTTTTGGATCATTTTTGTTATTACAAGGTCTTGAAGCTTTATCATTAAGAGTTCATAGACAAACTGAAAATACTTTGGAATTGGCAAGATGGTTAGGATCAAGGGATGATGTTTTGTATGTTTCATGAATCATAAAAATGCCAAAAAATGCATGCAAAATGGATTTGAATGCGTTTTAACCTTGGCGTTAAAGGTGATAAAGAAGTTGGAGCTGCATTTGTTGATGCTTTAAAACTTGAAAGGTACAGTATGAAATATTATATTATTTTATTTTACTAAAATATATATTTGTCATTTGTCGAATGTTGGTGACGCGAAAACGCTTGTAATAAATCCTGCTTCAACGACATAACAGCAAATGATACGTGTCTCTGTTGGTTATTAGTATATTGATGATATCAAGGATGATTTTGAAAACGCGTTTGCTAAAATTCGTGAAATATAATCATATATTATTTCGCTCGTTCAAGTTGTAAAAATTTTTTTTCGTTTAAAATAATCAATAATTGTATATTATATTAAACGCAATTATTATTACTACAAGTTTACATAATGAATTTATACGTAAAGTTCGGACCGACGCTTTTTAGCTTCCTTAAAACAAAAAAAAAGAAAATTCTTATAGGACACATGACGCATGAATCCGACTGCCTTATTATGCATAATATACCCAACATTTCTATTTTATCAGCGCTTTACGACTTGTGACTCTGTATAAACGACGATACTTGCTTTTTGGTACTGGCTCCGCAGTCCACATTTGTGTGCGCAAATAATGGGAAGTACCTATCGGCTATTTATTTACGAAACTATTTAGCATTCATCAAACATTTATTTTATTTAAAACGTTTATCATTATGTTTAATTATAGAACGAAAAAAAATCTATGATGAATTATGCGTCAGGAATTTCTTTTTATTATTAAATAATTTTCGAAACCTCCTGAATATTTTAAATTTTTAAATTGGACAATTTTTTAAAAATAATCGAATTAGAAAATACATACACATGCATCCTTTGTCTACAGGGGATTTATTTTTTCTAATTGGATGAAAGTCATATTGTTATAAAATGAATTTCATGATTGCTTTCTGTTCGAATTAAATTGTGCAGGTTTAAAAATGTGACCAAAAATAATTAATTTTGAGGAACATTAATAATTTGCAAGACCGGATAAATCAGATATCCGGCACTTCGTTTCCGAATAACCAAACTAACCTTTAAGGGAATCGTCACAGTTTTTCGCCGAGAGGAAAAATTTAAAAACAATGGAAATTAAATTCAAAAAAATATAAGTGATACGTTTTTATATGGACAGCACGCTGCAATACGCGTATAAATAATTACCTCCCATCTTGCATTCTTTCACTTGACTCGAGATGTCCTCAAACTTTTCAAATCAATATATAATAAGGATAGCTTACACTTACTGATTGTAGCATTAGTTATTACTTGAAAACATCATAATAATTAGCTTTAAGAGAGTGCACGTTAATGTACAAATGATTTATTATATAGTTATACTTTTAATTTCTTTATAGAATGTGTTAATACTAATAATATAATCTTATGAAACCTTATAAAAATCTTAGTAAGTTGTGTAAGTTAAAAGATATGATATAAATAATAATATAAGAATGATGTGTATAAAAGAAAAATTTAAAAAATTTTTACAAGAATAAAAGAAAAAGAAATTAATTAAAAGGGGGAGGGTGAGACGGAAACGATACAATAACCAGTATTGCAAAAAAAAAAAAAAATATAAATATTGTGAAAAAAAAAAAAAAAAAAAAAGGAAATTGGAAAAGAAAGAAATAACTTCAAATTAATGCCAAAAAGAAAAAAAAAAAAAAAAAAAAGGTTCTATAAGATTTTTTTTTAATATAAATAATTTTATAATTTTTTTTGTAGGATGGTGGGTGAAAAATTATTACCAATACTGTAATATATCATAAACTTCGGCAGAAATAATGCTACTTTCCGCTTTCAAACTATTAACTTTAAGATTATAATACTTTGTTTCATTTGCAATATATTGTCGTATTGCTAAATGATCTTTAGGATCAAGAGATTTAGAGAATGTTACATTTGGTTCATGAAGATTTTCAAAATTGAAGAATCTACTAATATATACAGCTTCTGGGTGATTATCATCTTCATGGTCTATTACACATTCTTCATCTGACTGAGAATTTACCTTGGTTACGCTTTCAAGACGTTTTTCTTCTAATTGTTGAAAATGTATAGAAATTTCCGTATTTTCCGATATTTCACAAATCCATTCGGCTATTGTTTCACGTAAAGAATTAGCACAAGGTCGCACAAATGGATTCGAATCCCAACATCGTTTTAAAAGTCCGACAAGACGTCTTGGAATATCTGCAGGAATTTCTGGTCGTAATCCTTGTTTACAAATTTCCGTCGCCAATTTCTCATCATGTGCACGATCAGCGAACGGTTTTTTTCCAGTTATTATCTCCCACATGATCGTACCAAAACTATAAACATCAGCAGCCATAGTATATGGTTTGTTCCTTAATAATTCTGGTGCAATAAAAGGTAAAATTCCATACGATCCATATGATCCATTATCATTAGACGTTGGACGACTTGACATTACAAGATCACTTATAAGGGTTAAAGAATCACTTATTAGCACATTCCCACTATGTAAATTCCCGTGTATTAAATTCTTATCATGAATACTATTGAGACCTTTAGCGAAAGAGTATAAAATTTCCAATCGTTTTTGCCATGTTATTTCAACAAGGTTTCGTTTCAAATAATTGGAAATATTCCCATCTTTTGCATATTGTAATACTAGCATGTATTCTTTCGATTTTGGATCCTGTGTTATCCCGTAGCAACGTATTATATTCTGACCGCTGTTACTTTCACATTGAATATATTTAGACAACTAAATAAAAAACAAAAAAAATGTTAATAAAACCAATCAAACTTGATAAATTTATGGTAAAAAAAAAAATTTTTTTTTAAAGAAGCGTATGTTTACCTGATCAAAGAAGTCTGAGGAGAAGGTTTGAGAATCCTCAAAACATTTCAACGCGACAAGACATTCACCACATCGAACGTATTGACTGTTCTTCATGTCCCATCTCTCACGAGGGCCATCTTTCCAAATAGCTTGAAATACACGACCGTAATCACCAGCATCAGCTAATTCAATATCTTGTAATCTATCAAAAGATATCCATTCCAAATAATCAAAATAACTTGATGAATTTAATTGACTTTCCAAGATGAAACAATCAATATCATCATTTCCACTCGACCAAGATTCAAATTGTTGTTCGAACCTTTTCATTTCACACGCTTTACACCACTGGATGCTATAACCACTATCCGTCGTCTTTCTTTTACAAGATAAACACATTTGCACCTCAACAGGTAACGTTTTCACCGAATTCATTGAATATCTTGCCGAATATGTAGACGGAATGGAAACTGGCACACCAGATACATCTTCGAATGGATTTGGCATAGTATCTTCATTAATTAATAATTCAGAAAATGATTCACGAGCCGTGCTCGTCGGAGTGTAAGACGTTGAATTATCATCAAAAACATCATCAGGAGCTTCTATTGTACTATGATATTCTGATATGAAAGATAAAGTGTCTATTATTGATCGTAATTCTGAGTCTTCAATGATGCTTTGACGAAAGTTATAATCATCATCATCATTTTGAAAATTGTCTGTTGTCATATTATCATCAGCATATTCCTTGGGTACCGGTGGTAATGGTTTGTTCTCAAGATCTAACAAAAGAGAATCATTGTACCTCTCATAAAGTTCATATAATTGAGAGCTAGTCTTTTCACGATCGTAATGCCGATTTTTTTCCCACCGAAATGTTCGAACTTCCCTTATATCTTTTGCTATGGAACGTCTGTTACTATTATTACGACGAACCGGTTGCATACTAAATCTACTATTTCTCGCCAAATTTTCCTTTTTAGCAATCAGTATAGTAGCAGGACTTTCTTCACCCAGATAATCTAAAAAACTTTTTTTATCACTATTATTATCAACTGCAATGTTGGCGTTACTATTGTTGTTATCAGTTGAAGTAAAATAAGCAGTAATGTTCCACGAAGTGTCAAATACAAAACTCTTTCGATTTATAGTCGAATTGAATGGATCTACCATACAAAATCGACGTGTATCAACGACGAGACCAAGCTTCTTTGAACTTCCACCTGCATTAAGAGAGTTTCTCCATGACGGTACTGGAAGGCTTTTATGTTTTTTCTTCCCTCTATCTTTTAATGAACCGGTTGGAGTAAAGTCACCTCCCACTTTATTTCTCCATATTTCCCTTTCACTTGTTTCGCGTGTGTTGGAGGGTTTATGCTTGCATCTCGTTGTATGTGTATATTCTGTATCTGATGTATTTGTAAATATTATACTATTATTATCATCGTCTAGTTTTGGCCGTCGGCATATAGTAGCATCTCCAGCCTAATAATATTTAATACATTAACATACATGGGAGAGATTTTTTTTTTTTTTGTTTTAATAAAATCAAATATATATTTTATAATACCTTACAAATCCATCGAAATACGTTACAAGTGCGAGCCATTTATGGTTTAGTAATTATTATTATTCAAGATTCTAGAAGACTTTTTTTTTCTAAAAAAAAAAATTGTAGAATTCTTTTTTAACAAGTTGGAAGAAATGGGCTACGCCGCCATTTACAGTTTCTTTCAAAAAAATTGTTTTTTTTAAGTTGAAGGGGATCAATAAGAATAATGATTTGTATTTATATATGCTATTTACCAATTAAAACAATTTGATAAGTAATAAATTTACTACAAAATAATAATAATAAAGAGACAATATCTTTTATGATGAGTATGCAATGCCCCGCAAATGATACTTTATTTAGAATAAATATATATAACTAGGGAAATACCGTATAGCGCCATACTATTATTATGGTTCAACTATAAAATCAATGTTTATCTTTCACTTGAAAGTTTTTTTTCCTTTGCCTTGTACACAAATAGTTAGTTAGCACCTTTTTTTTATTGTAAATCTTGTACTTAATTCTTGCAGACTATTACATAATCTTTTTTTTATTGGTGTTTATATTTTATTTTTGTTAAGTATTTTTTATTTTTATTTTTTGTAAATGTTTATAAAGCTGTGAGATAAATTCTGTGTATAAAACAAAGTTGTAGGGAGAAATTGATGTTTAGAACACCAATTATAAAGATCTCCAAACTCAAAAATATGTTTGAAAAATTAATAAAATATATCCTTGCGTTTCTGTTATGCTGATTAAGGAAAGAAATCATACACTCTTGAACCAAACAATTTGGAAAATAAGGTAATGTTTTACTAAACACAAAATCGATTTACCAATTAAACCGACGAGATGTTTTTGCAAAAAAAAAAAAAAAATGGTGAAATGAAAAAGATGCGGTGTTCAATATTTTTTAATAATTGTTTATAGACGAAGTTATTTTTTTTGTGTTGAAAAAAGAAAACACCGTATGAAAAAATAAAGGATCATGCTAAGCAACAATGGGTTTTTTGTTAAATGAATATCAACATGTAATTTAGGAAAGTTATTAACCGTTTTGTATACATGATTTTGTTAACCATTTTTTTTAATCCTCCCAAATGATAATTAATTATAATTCTAATTTCATAATCAAACATTTAATCAAGATTCTATGAAAAAAATAATAAAAATAATCAGAAAATTTCACGTCCAAATATTTGAATTTGAATTCTTTTTTTTTTCTTTTATCCTGTTAACAAATTTTAAAAGTGACCGTTTTAACTGCGGTGAAACGTTTGTTTCCACCTGAAAGGTTCATTATATATATTATATATGTAAATGCTATTTTAAAATATACTGTATAAGATAATCCAAAAAATTGTGTTTGTGAAACGTGGTAGAATTCATAACTCTAAAATGAGATGTTACAACTGTATTTTTTTATTTTTTTTTTGTTTCTTTAACAAGTTTCTTTTTTACATATTTGGAATTTTACGCGTCAAAATTTCTCTGGTAGTATTTTTGCGTCATAATTATTCATCTTCCCGACCGGAAATTGTCGGAAAAATTATACACGTGCATATATGGCTTAACCGTTTACCGCCTCGAGATTATCTTGGATAATAAAGGTTAATGATTATAATCAGAGGAAATACGTTCGTTGATAGATTTGGAAATTTGATTTGAGGATTGGGATTCAACGTAATAAAAAGATTCTTTTGTGTCTTTTTCAGGCAAATTAAATTTAGACAATTTGTTACAAATGTACTTATCAGTGTAAGTTTATATGCAACGTAAAAATAAACCTTGACCTTTTTTCACACCCAAAACGCGACTAAATATATCGCAGCGATCAACCTGCTAAACTTTATTCTTTGTAATAATTTTTTATAGAATTAATTCTCTTCGCTGTAAAAATATCTAATAGACTGCGTCAAAAATACTTTTTGATTTTCATGTGACAATTTCGTGCTTTTGTGATAAACATGATAAACATGATTTTGAGGGCTTTGCATGATTTTTGATTTATAAATATCTTTTTTTTTCTTTCGTCTTTTTTTTTCCCTTTCATATTAATGTAATTATTATTATTCAATCAAAAAAAAATTCATTTTCTTATTATATTCCAATTAAAAACATTCGCTAAACCATATATAATATACATTATCTCTTAAAATTAATACTAATTATTATGTTCAAATCATTCAGCATTTTGAAAATTTGACGAATTAAATTATTTCGATTTTATATCCAAACTTTTCACAATGTCTTATTTCAAAAATTTATCAGAACAAATTTGTAAAATTTTAAATAGACTTAGTTATGAACGTCGTATGGTTATATTTGGAGATACAAATAGATTTGAAGGATGGTTGGTCAGTCAACAAAGTCAACAAGTTGGTTATAGCGTTCATGCAAATTTTTTAGATCCATCTTCAACTAGTTCATATGTATACAAAGAAAAAAATCTTAATTTAGAGGCAAAAGGATATTTGATCAAGATGGAGATAGTTTTGGAAAATGGTTATATGGAATCTTTTAAACAAAAAGTAAATTTGAGTGATAAAATCATAGGTGCAGTCTTTTGTGTAGAAAACTATGAAGATGCAGGACATCGGGATAAAGATCAACCAGAATTTGCAGTGGGATTTGTTTTTGAAATTGGTTTAGTTAAAGAAGGATATTTGGGTGGTGTGCTATTAAAATTGAGGTACGGATCATATGATTTACTATGTCTCGTACCTCAATTTTAATAGCATACCACCCATTTTATTTATCTTGAATATGGTGTTATTATTAAAATAACATCAAATTCAAAATGGTGTTGGTAAACACAAGCTGTACATAGTACAGCCAAACTTAATTTAAGTGAAGGTGATATTTGATATACTTGTGCTATTACTTAACTGAAAAAACTGCAAAAGCAATAGAAAAAGAATCAGGAATTATAGAAAATTAGATTTTTATTATTATTTTATTATTTTTATTATTTTTTATATAATTAAATAAATTTTTTAATAAAAAATTATTGATAAGATTTAATCTTAATTTAAGCAAAGGTGGTATTTAATATACTAGCGCTATTACTTTAACTAAAAAAATTGCAAAAGCAATGGAAAAAGAAGCAGGAATTATAGAAAATTAGATTTTTATTATTATTTTATTATTTTTATTATTTTTTATATAATTAAATAAATTTTTCAATAAAAAATTATTGATAAGATTTCATCTTAATTTAAACGAAGGTGGTATTAATATACTAATGCCATTACTTTAACTTAAAAAATTGCAAAAACAATAGAAAAAGAAGCAGAAATGATAGAAAATTTTATTATTATTTTTATTTTTTATATAATTATATAAATTTTCAATAAAAAATTATTGATAAGATTTAAATTTAATTTAAGCAAAAGTAATATTTGATATACTAGCATTATTACTTTAACTAAAAAAATGCAAAGCAATAAAAAAGAAGCAGAAATTCTATTTTTATTATTATATGATATTAGCCAGAAGGCTAAAAATAAAACTTAGATGATATAATTCAGTCCTTCAAATTAATTATAATAACTTTATCACAATCATATCTGTATAAAGACATGACAAAAGGTAATAATAAATAAATAACAAATATTTTTATTGAACACTTGACTTATTCACAAAATCCTATTTCAAGTTATCTTTTAACTTAAGGAAAAATACATAATATTTATATAAAATAAACTAATAGAAATATAATAAGATAATATATATAATATAATAAATATAACTAATATGATAAATATAATAAATAAAATAAATCTATTGAATATAAAAAATTTAATAATATAATAAATATAATTAATATGTTAAATATGAATCATTATTTAAATATGACTAATCTGTTATATTTATCAAATAAGTTAACTATTAATTTGAAGATCAATTTTTGATGATCTTTTAATAATGTTAATTTTGCAGCTAACAATAGGAGGTTTGCTAAAAAATGGACTTTAAAGAATTTTTTAATTTTATTGTATTTTATTTTTTGATAATGTTAGATTAAAATGCAATAAATATTAAAATTTTAATAAAAATACTTAAAATCTTATTTTCTAGTAAACCTCTCATATTATTTTTATTTTTATTTTTTATAAAACTAAATAAATTTTTTAATAAAAAATTATTGTAAAAATTAATAAAATTATAAACCTATAGATTTATTAAAATTAAATTTTAAATTCTATAATATTACAAATTTGAAGAATAGTTGTAAATATCAAAAATGATTTTATTATAATATTATTTTATTTTTATAAGCAATTTAAATAAGAAATAATATATTTTTTATAAGATTTATATATGTATTTAATGATTTTGTATCATAATTCCATATATTTTTATAAAGATTTATTTTTTTATAATTTTTTAGAAAACTTAGATACACAGAAACTTTATTATTTCAATAATAGTTTATTATAGTAAAACTAATATGATGAATACTATAATAATAGTACTTTTGATTTAGTAACAAAAACTTTAGCTTTAATAACTAATAATATAACTTCAATAATTACTGTGATAAATTTATATCAGAAGAACTTGAAAATAAATTTGATAAAAGGCAAAGCTCCCAGAGAAATATCAAAATGAATGTACGTCTCACATAACCAGCTCACTCCAATTTGAATTTTTCTTATTATCGATATGCTGTTCATATTTAAATTTAACAGTTATTGCAGAAATCAATTTAATTAATGAATCTATTAAAAAAATACAATCTCTAATATTTTATATTAAAGTTTTACAACCTATAAATAATAGTTTAAAAATATTATGCAATATAAAAAATATTAATTATTTGATACTTAAAATAGATATTAAAATAAGATGAAATTTTATATATTATGAATACAGATATAACTTGCTTTAAAATTATTTATTATTAATAATTAAAAGTAAAAAACCCTTTAGGTTTTCTAGCAACCTTATTCAGAAAATAATATGTAAAATGTTAAATCTCATAACCAAAGATCTAGCATATTTTGTTTTAGAAGAAAAAGCTTTTTGATATTATAATCCAAATGACTTTA